TCCGTCAGTATAATATTGGGGACGGTGCGGGTGGCTGAATGGTTAAATGCGTGAACTGTAAGCCAGACGGCGCGGGTTCAATCCCGGCTCGTGGCACATCTGGCAATGTGTCTGTAAACCTAGCTCGGGTTGACCAAAGCCATGTGAGGGAAATTTGGTAGAGGAAACTATGTCCTCGGATGGACTGTATCTGCATCTGCAATGTTGCAGCCTTGTCACACTGTGTGTCACGTTGATATCAGGGTTGTAGTTGCTTGAAACGTACGAGTGATTGTAGTCTGGTCAGCTGCCTTCACTATAATTTAAGTAACCAGAATGTTCCACTTTGTGGAACCCTCATACGTCGAAATCGACGGAGTCCATTATTATTATTAATATAATATTATAGAAGGTGATTTTGTTGTCGTTTTTCTTGTCTTAAAAACAATTAATGACAGTAGCGTGAGCCTTGTTACACCAGTTCAGTTGACGTTAGTTGTCCTGAAGACGTTGAGGAGGTTGCTAGTAAAGCGTCGCCCAAATCAGAAGTTAGTTTTCATGGTATGATAACGGATTACGCGAACGTTGTTAGCAAGAAGTTCACATCAAATATTTATGGTCTCGTTCCATCGTCTTCTGAGAAGGTTTCATGTTCATCCTGTATCTTACATCTATGTTACAAATGCTTAGTTTTTTTATGTTTTTTGAAATTGTCGTTTTAATGACTATTATTTTAGAGCATAGACATTGAAGAATCTAGTGGTAGTACAGGTACTTTTAACATTTTTTTTGTTGAAAATCTCTCTAGTTTCAATTTTTCAAGATTTCTCATCTAAATTTTCATCTTTAGTTTAGAATCCTTTCGATAGGAGAAATGCTCGGGATTTGTGGTACTTTATACGATATATTGAATTTAAGTTTTATAGCTTTAATATCTCTTATCTGTCCATCGTAACTTTGCTATAATTGTATGGATAAATTATGTTCTTATACTTAATAGATTATTGGTGATCCAACTTCACCTGAAGATGTTCAGCAAGAACGATGTATGAAGTTACTGTCGTTAATTAACAATATAGCCCGGGAAAAAGGGTTAGATGGCCAAAATTATAAATGTAATGGTTGTTCCAGACCAATTGGAATGGGTATGATCAATCAATTCTCGACTTGTTATTTCCATAATAACTCAAATATATTTATTTTCAAATATCTTAGCTTATTAAATCTTATCTTTGTAGAAACTATTATAACATAGCACATAATCCCTTTTTTCCATGAAGCCCATGGATGCTTTCGTTCATGATGAAAGAGTCATATTGTATAAGGAGGCTCGCGTTCATCACGAGAGAGTTATGAAAAGTTACATTGTAAAGGTAAAAGTAAAAACGTATAAACATTTTAGAGTTTGTTTAAATTATAATTCAAAAGGCAGAAGTTGTTTGAACCTTTGAAGTATCCTTGGACGTTCTAGTTTCTTTTATGAGAAGAATTCTTGTAAAGAAAAAGACAAATTTTGAAAACAAAAATCCTGTTTTGGTCCATGCCTCCCGATACCCGTGATAGTTGAGCACTAGAGCGTCGCATGTTAACTAAGGGAACCACATAATCTTTGTTTGTTTGCCATGAAGCATATGGATGGTTTGCTCGTGATGCATGAGAAACAGTAAATGGGAGAGTTAAATCAGAAAGATATAAAGCGATGAAAATGGTATAAAACATGTTTAAGGTTGTCTTTAATTATAAGTGTCCGATAAAGACAGGGTCATAAGAAGTTAATTGAAACATTGCGTGGTTTTTTTTATGAGAGGAAAACAAAAAGACAAAATTCGAAAGCAAAAAAACCCCGTTTTCGGTCCATGCTTCCCGATACCTCCTTAAGCTCAAGGCACTAGAACGCCGCATGTTAACGTTTCGGTAGGAGATTTCGGCCCCTCCACGCTATCCTACTTGGGAAATGCCAATTGCAAGCTTCCGCCCATCAGACCCTGAGATCACCTGTGATAGGCTTTGCTCAGGGTACGCAGGGAGAGTGCGGTCGCCACCGAAGTGTGGGCCCCTAAGCCACTGCATACTATATCGCACCCAGCTTCCACTGCTAGTTGACATCTACTATATAAAGTTTTAGCTTTATATATATAAACCAAAATTTAAAGGCGTACGAAAGTTGTGGGATGATTGTTATCGTTACTGCGCATGCGCAGATGATTTCTTTGATAATTTGCGACTAAGTGAGTTAATTGACACAAATGTAGTGCAAATACGTATAGTTGGTCGTTGTCATGACTATGGACAACTACTCGAGAGGACTGCGCATGCTCGAGCGCAAGCGCAGATGATTTCTCTATTAAATTGTTACTAAGCATGCTATTTACTTCAAAATTGGTGCTAGTAGATGCAGGTTGTTGTTGCATTACCATGAACTTCAGTAGCTTGTGAAGTTGACTGCGCATGCTCAAGCAGACTGCGCATGCGCAGATGATTTGTGTTAAAACTTTTGACTGAGCGAACTAATTACTCCAAATTGGGTACTAGTACATCCAGTTGTTCGTTACCATGAGCTTGGAGAGTTTGTCGTGTTAACAACACATGCTCAGATTCTCAATTAATTTGTGACAGAGCGAGCTCTGAAATTGGTGCTTGTAAATGCGCTGAGCAAGTTTTCAATCATATATTTTTGGAATGCTGCTTGTCTTCTTAAGCTAGTTTTGACAAATGCATATGAAACTCATCAACACTTTGTTACGGCACTCGTAATAACCGTGACAACGTAAAAATGTTTTTTTAGTTTTCACTATAACTTAATGCCTGTATATTGCATGTCATATTCAAGCTTTCCTTTGATTTGACACGAAATGGTTTTTATTCACTCTTACACCTTTTGCCTTTATAATTATTCGATCTGTATTTCTAAAATAATATTTACAAATGCCCGAAGAGAATCTTTTTATTTTATTGGCTCTCTTCTACGAAAACAATACTATGTCCGACCATTTGATTGCACGAATTTTGTAATTTGATTACGTTTTTTTGCAGGCGCGGATCCAGCTCCTTAGCTGACCGATGCATTGCGAGCGCCGAAGGCGCGAGCCACCGCTAGGGGGGTCTGGGGGCATGCTCCCCCAGAAAATTTTTGAATTTTCACTATCCGAGAAACATTTTCCAGCGATTTGGGAAAGGTGATAGAAAAATCTTAAGCGTAAATTTTATCGAAAAAATAACATGAGCCGTCTTTTGTTAGATAACAGCATTGATAAAAGCAATGTTCAATAGTGGTCTTCCAACGGTAAAAAAGATGAAAAGTTTAATGAAAGCAATGTTCAAAGATGGTCTTCTTCTAACGGCAGCAAAGATGACAGCAATTATAAAAGCAATGTTGAAAGATCGTCTTCTTCCAACCACAGCAAAGATGAAATGTTTAAGAAAATCAATGTTTAAACGTGGTCTTCGTCCTCTCAATAACGGCTTAAAACAAGATAACTCTCAAAGAAAATGTAGGTTGTTTATCAGCATTAAGAATTTCTCATGGAGCTCATCGTCAAGCATCTGTTTCTTTATCCTCCAGGATATCAAGAAATTGCATCCTCGTTGGGTTTTGTCTAGCAAAGGTATTAATCACTTCTTCGACATCACACTTAATATCATCATTAATATGCATTTGGGCTAATCCATTTAACCTTTCGTTGATCATTGTGCTACGTAACCAAGTTTTCATTCGACGAAGGGCAGAAACGGATCTTTCACACTCACATTTTTAATGTAATCCATACAATACATAAACTAAAATGCAACTAAAATCGCACCTAACCCTGCATATTACAGTTTGTATTATATTACATATGAATACAAGTATAAGTGCTGCATAAGTAATATGACATCGTGTATATTTTTTGATGATTGTTCGTCGTTATCTACACGACTACACTCTGAGTCTGAAATGAGTACACTATTTACATTTAAAACATGCAAGCATAAAGGTAAATTTACTTACTTTAAAGCTCTTAGTTCTCCACTTTGCCAATGAACTGTCAAGTGCTTAGGTATTAACATTTCACTTGACATATCTCTCCCATTTTACCCTTTGAAAGGGATTCCAAGGAGAGGATTTTGAAATAAAAGTAGCAGCTCTCGTTTCATAGGTTCGACGCACTCCATTAATATCAAATGACTTCTCTTCTCGAAGCAGAGTACACAGATCGTGTTTGATATTCTCGACAGCCATGACTTCGATCGATGATTGCGAGTTATATCAAGTGATCAAATAACAATGCATTCAACTTTGAAGTTCAAAGTTGAATGCATCGGTGCCATGTGCCCACAATCACAAAATTATGGAAAATGCATCGCTCAGCGGCAAAATCTACCGTGACGTGAGGCCCTAAAACAATGGTTTTGCTGATGTCACAGTAGATTTCACGCGGAAAGGACTCGGGACCGATGCATCGACCGATGCATCGCAAATCTACTGTGACGTGGCGATGCCTCTTCCATCTACCGTGACGTGCTGGCAGAATACTATTAAATTACTTACTAATTATGTATTCACGACAAAATTTCGCTAAATTTTATCGACTTTTCTTTCGCTATTTGTGTCATGGAATACGACAAAATTATCGGAGAACACAAATGTTATTTCTAGAACAAATTTTAGCTTAAAACTGCTAAATCTATAAGTTAACTAAACAATATATCACTGTCAAATGTGCGTTTTAAATAATTCGAAAATAATATTTGCTGTTTATTTCATTAAAATGCAAACTCGCAGATTTTAATATCTAAATATTTTGACCGATGCATTCGCATCGGTTGCATCGGTCTAGATCCGCCCCTGTTTTTTTGACACGTGTGTTTACCATCGGAAAGATGGATTGCTTAAATGTACCTAGTTGCTTAGACTAATTGGATGCATTGTTATCCTGTAATGTATACCCCTGTGAAACACCAATGACCATACGTATTGTGTCTACTATAACCTCTATTCTTGTTCTCCACTTTATCATGTATCCATATTTGTTCTATTTTAGGTCTCAGCTCAGCACAACCCTTGTTTGAAGTTCCTAAAACCTTGATCTACCCAAGAAAGATCTCTGGTGGTAACATGTTAGGTATGGCTAGTGGTTGGTCATTGTCATTTGAGCCTTGTGACACCAGTTCAGTTGACGTTAGTTGTCCTGAAGACGTTGAGGAGGTTGCTAGTAAAGCGTCGCCCAAATCAGAAGTTAGTTTTCATGGTATGATAACGGATTACGCGAACGTTGTTAGCAAGAAGTTTCACATCAAATATTTATGGTCTCGTTCCATCGTCTTCTGAGAAGGTTTCATGTTCATCCTGTATCTTTCACCAATGTTACAAATGCTTAGTTTTTTTATGTTTTTTGAAATTGTCGTTTTAATGACTATTATTTTAGAGCATAGACATTGAAGATTCTAGTGTTAGTACAGGTATTTTTAACATTTTTTTTGTTGAGAAACTCTTTAGTTTCAATTTTTCAAGATTTCTCATCTTAATTTTCATCTTTAGTTTAGAATCCTTTCGATACGAGAAATGCTCGGGATTTGTGGTACTTTATACGATATATTGAATTTAAGTTTTATAGCTTTAATAACTCTTGTCTGTCCATCTTAACTTTGCTATAATTCTATGGATAAATTATGTTTTTATACTTAATAGATTATTGGTGATCCTACTTCACCTGAAGATGTTCAGCAAGAACGACGTATGAAGTTACTGTCGTTAATTAACAATATAGCCCGGGAAAAGGGTTAGATGGCCAAAATTATAAATGTAATGGTTGTTTCCATAATAACTCAAATATATTTATTTTCAAATATCTTAGCTTATTAAATCTTATCTTTGTAGAAACTATTATAACATAGCACATAATCCCTTTTTTCCATGAAGCCCATGGATGCTTTCGTTCATGATGAAAGAGTCATATTGTATAAGGAGGCTCGCGTTCATCACGAGAGAGTTATGAAAAAGTTACATTGTAAAAGGTAAAAGTAAAAAGTATAAACATTCTTAGAGTTTGTTTAAATTATAATTCAAAAGGCAGAAGTTGTTTGAACCTTTGAAGTATCCTTGGACGTTCTAGTTTCTTTTATGAGAAGAATTCTTGTAAAGAAAAGACAAATTTTGAAAACAAAAATCCGTTTTCGGTCCGTGCCTCCCGATACCCGTGATAGTTGAGCACTAGAGCGTCGCATGTTAACTAAGGGAACCACATAATCCTTGTTTGTTTGCCATGAAGCATATGGAGGTTTGCTCGTGATGCATGAGAAACAGTAAATGGGAGAGTTAAATCAGAAAGATATAAAGCGATGAAAATGGTAAAAAACATGTTCAAGGTTGTCTTTAATTATAAGTGTCAGATAAAGACAGGGTCATAAGAAGTTAATTGAAACATTGCGTGGTTTTTTTTATGAGAGGAAAACAAAAAGACAAAATTCGAAAGCAAAAAAACCCCGTTTTCGGTCCATGCTTCCCGATACCTCCTTAAGCTCAAGGCACTAGAACGCCGTATGTTAACGTTTCGGTAGGAGATTTCGGCCCCTCCACGCTATCCTACTTGGGAGATGCCAATAGCAAGCTTCCGCCCATCAGACCCTAAGATCACCTGCGATAGGCTTTGCTCAGGGTACGCAGGGAGAGTCGCCACCGAAGTGTGGGCCCCTAAGCCACTGCATACTATATCGCACCCAGCTTCCACTGCTAGTTGACATCTACTATATGAAGTTTTAGCTTTATATATATATACCAAAATTTAAAGGCGTACGAAAGTTGTGGGATGATTGTTATCGTTACTGCGCATGCGCAGATGATTTCTTTGATAATTTGCGACTAAGTGAGTTAATTGACACAAATGTAGTGCAAATACGTATAGTTGGTCGTTGTCATGACTATGGACAACTACTCGAGTGGACTGCGCATGCTCGAGCGCATGCGCAGATGATTTGTCAATTAAATTGTTACTAAGCATGCTATTTACTTCAAAATTGGTGCTAGTGGATGCAGGTTGTTGTTGCCATGACCATGGACTTGAGTAGCTTGTGAAGTTGACTGCGCATGCTCAAGCAGACTGCGTATGCGCAGATGATTTGTGTTAAAACTTGTGACTGAGCGAGCTAATTACTCCAAAGTCGGTACTAGTACATCCAGTTGGTCGTTACCATGAGCTTGGAGAGTTTGTCGTGTTGACAACACATGCTCAGATTCTCAATTAATTTGTGACAGAGCGAGCTCTGAAATTGGTGCTTGTAAATGCGCTGAGCAAGTTTTCAATCATATATTTTTGGAATGCTGTTTGTCTTCTTAAGCTAGTTTTGACAAATGCATATGAAACTCATCAACACTTTGTTACGGCACTCGTAATATCCGTGACAACGTAAAAATGTTTTTTTATTTTTCTCTATAACTTAATGCCTATATATCGCATGTCATATTCAAGCTTTCCTTTGATTTGACGCGAAATGGTTTTTATTCACTCTTACACCTTTTGCCTTTATAATTATTCGATTTGTATTTCTAAAATAATATTTACAAATGCCCGAAGAGAATCTTTTTATTTTATTGGCTCTCTTCTACGAAAACAATACTATGTCCGACCATTTGATTGCACGAATTTTTTAATTTGATCACGTTTTTTTGACACGTGTGTTTACCATCGGAAAGATGGATTGCTTAAATGTACCTAGTTGCTTAGACTAATTGGATGCATTGTTATCCTGTAATGCATACCCCTGTGAAACACTTGCGTCTAAAGCATGGAAACAACTTTAGTGTTTCAAGGAAAGAAACAACTTTAGTGTTTCAACGGTTTCAATGGCTAACGGCCATTGTCCCCTTGGGTAGTTTTCGTCAGCTACAAGTACTAGATCTCCTTTTTTAAGATTCCGTCTCGGTGTATACCATTTCTTTCTCTCCATTAATGTTGGTAAGTATTCTTTGAGCCATCTACGCCAAAAAACATTTGCTAAGTATTGAGCCTGTTTCCAATTCTTCTTACAGCACAAATCATTCTTGTCAAATTATCCCGGGGGTAAACTAGTACTTGCTCGTAAATGCAATAAGTGGTTTGGAGTTAGAGGATCGTCATCTTCAGGACTATCACTGTTGCGCGTGAGAGGTCTTGAATTCAGGATTAGAACCACCTCTGCAATTACGGTTTGCAGGACTTCGTCTGAAACTACTTGTTCCTTGAGAATTGCTTTGAGGATTTGTCTAACAGATTGTATCATTCTCTCCCATATGCCTCCCATATGGCTCGCTGAAGGCGGGTTAAAGTGCCACTTAATTCTTCTTTGCGTACAAAATTTGTCCACTTTACTTTGATCCCATTCTTCAATTCCTTTGTTCAATTCCTTGTTAGCACTAACAAAATTTGTTCCTCTATCACTCTTGATTTGCTCGGGATATCCTCGCATGCTAATAAACCTCCTGAGAGCGTTGATCATCGAGTCTGTATCCAAGGAATGAGCTATTTCTATATGGATTGCTCGGGTGGTGAAACATGTGAAAAGGCAACCATATCTTTTCACCAACGATCTACCTCTTTTCACCAACATGAGTCCAAATAATCGATTCCTACTATAGTAAAGGGAGGTTTTTGAGGTGTCACCCGGCTTTCTGGTAGATCTGACATTAGCTGCTCACCCAAACGAGCCTTTCTTCTTTGACAAGCTAGGCAACATCGTACTACGCGTCGAACTGCTGTTCTTCCTTTAATTATCCAGAATTCCTTTCTTAGTGATGATAAGACGGATTCTTGACCCATATGACCTACTTCAGCATTATGTTGACGAATTATCATATCTGTGACGGGATGCTTGAAGGGTAGAATAATAGGATGTTTTGATTTCCCATTGATTGGCGCATTGCCAAGCCTGCCTCCAACCTTTAGTAAGCTGTTCACCATCATTGGATTTAATTGTCGAATGGAGATTCCTGATTTTCTGAGTAGTGCCTTGTCAAACTCCTTACTATTTCCTGGAACTGCAAACAGTTTTAGTTCTTGAGAAAATGTGGTGTTCTGTACATGTGCGAAGATCTCCCTATCGGCGGCATCCAATTCTTCCATTGTTAGTCGTCCAACTTTAAATTCCGATTCCAAATGAGGACTAGAAACAACTTTCTTTTGCCTCGCCTTGCTAAGAAGATAATCCTTATAACGTAACAACCAAGCAACAGAACACCTCAACTTCCACCAAATGGAGTGGCGTGAAATCAACATATCCAACAAGTGAGGCTGTTCTGCAGTCACGTAGATTTGGGCTTCCTTCCTTACCTCTCCTTCATCCTTTAATTCAGGAATTGTTATTCCCTTCGGCTAATGGCTTTCATCCTCCCAAAGGAATGCAGGACCTTTTAACCATTGGCCTTTATTTCTCAACATGTCCAATCTAACGCCCTTGGAACCTTCATCGGCGGGATTGTCGTCTTGGTTCACGTAATTCCACTCGGATGGGTGCGATCCACTACGAATCACTGACATACGGTTGGACTCGAATGTGTGAAATCTTTTGCTTTCGTTGTTAATACATTTGAGGACTGACATTGAATCTGTCCAGTAACAAACTCTTTGCACTACCATATCCAATTCTTCTGGAATAATCTTCGAAAGTCTTACGGAAATGACGGCAGCTGTTAATTCCAGTCTTGGAATAGAAATCTCCCTTAATGGAGCGAGTCTAGCCTTCCCAATTACAAATGAGCAGTGTATTTCGTTGTTTCCATTCTTTAGACGCAAATATTTCCTTGAAACACTTGAAACACTAAAGTTGTTTCTTTCGTGTTTCAGACGTGAAACACTTGCTAAATCCTTTACCAAATATCAAGCAAAATAATCATACAATAATTTCAAATATAATAAGTTCTCTGTGGTACGCTTACCAATAATACATAAAGAATAAAACGACAACTGCTTTCCCAAGGAATCCATTGTTTTTTGAAGAGGAGTTTATGGCGGCTGAAACGTGAAGATAAATACTTTTTAGAGATGAAAATAAAGTCTAAAAAGACGTTCACAAAATTTACATTCAATATGAACGCTACAATGATAAACACTGAAAACATGACATGAAACAAAATTTGCGACAAGTGAATATACATAGAAAACTGGCATGTGAAAATTTTTTTATCTAAACAGATGTTGTGTTAAACGGGAAGAATCAGGTGAAACATGTCATGTAAAAATATTTCCATTAAAAACTTTCCGCGTATAGAATTAACATGTATACAGTGTATAAAATTTACAAATATAGCATGTGAATTGTGAACGTTACGTAAAGACATTTGTAGAGTAACTGATGACAATAAAGAAACCTCTTCAGCTTTCATGAGTTTGAAAACTTCACCAAACTGCGTGTGGTCGCCAGTTCCCGTTACTATCCCCTGAATTATAATTTTCAATTAATTTTCATTCGTAAACAAAAGCAAAGATAAAGTAACAACAAAAAAAAGAAACTGGAGCGAAACCTTCTAACGGTGGAGATATCAAAGAAATCATCTGGGCATGCGCAGTAACGATAACAATCATCTCACAACTTTCGTACGCCTTTAAATTTTGGTATATATATATAAAGCTAAAACTTCATAGAGTAGATATCAACTAGCAGTGGAAGCTGGGTGCTAAATAGTATGCAGTGGCTTAGGGGCCCACACTTCGGTGGCGACCGCACTCTCCCTGCGTACCCTGAGCAAAGCCTATCGCAGGTGATCTCAGGGTCTGATGGGCGGAAGCTGGTTATTGGCATCTCCCAAGTAGGATAGCGTGGAGGGGCCGAAATCTCCTACCGAAACGTTAACATGCGGCGTTCTAGTGCCTTGCGCTTAAGAAGGTATCGGGAAGCATTGACCGAAAACGGGGTTTTTTGCTTTCGAATTTTATCTTTTTGTTTTCTTCTCATAAAACAAACCAAGCAATGTTTCAATTAACTTCTTATGACCCTGTCTTCTTCTGACACTTATAAATAAAGACAACCTTAAACATGTTTTATACCAATTTTATCGGTTTATATCTTTCTGATTTAACTCTCCCATTTACTGTTTCTCATGTATTAGGAGCAAACCATACATATGTTTCATGGAAAACAAACAAGGATTATGTGGTTCCCTTAGTTAACATGCGACGCTCTAGTGCTCAACTATCTCGGGGGTATCGGGAGGCATGGACCGAAAACGGGATTCTTTGGTTTTCAAAATTTATCTTTTTCTTTACAAGAATTCTTCTCATAAAAAAAACTAGAACCTCCAACGATACTTCAAAGGTTCGAACAACTTCTGCCTTTTTGAACTATAACTTAAAAAAACTCTAAGCATGTTTATACGTTTTTTACTTATTACCTTTTACAACGTAACTTTTTCTTAACTCTCTCGTGATGAATGAGAGCCTCCTTATAAAATATGACTCTTTCATCATGAACGAACGCATCCATGGGCTTCACGGAAAAAAGGGATTATGTACTTTGTTATAATAGTTTCTACAAAGATAACATTTATTAAGCTAAGAAATTTGAAAATAAATATATTTGAGTTATTAGCAAATAACAAGTCGAGAATTTATTGATCATACTCATTCCAATTGGTCTGGAACAACCATGACATTTATAATTTTGACCATCCAACCCTTTATCAAGGGCTATAGTGTTAATTAATGACAGTAACTTCATACGTCGCTCTTGCTGAACACCTTCAGGTGAAGTAGGATCATCAATAATCTGTTATATATAAAAACATAATTTATCCATAGAATCATAGCAAAGTTACGATGGACAGATGAGAGTTATTAACGCTATAAAACTTAGAGAATTTTTCAACAAATAAATGTTGAAAATACCTGTACTACCACAAGATTCTTCAATATCTATGCTCTAAAATAATAGTCAGAAAAACGACAATTTCAAAAAACATAAAAAACTAAGTATTTGTAACATTGGTGAAAGATACAGGATGAACATGAAACCTTCTCAGAAGACGATGGAACGAGACCATAACCATTTCATGTGAACTTCTTTCTAACAACGTTTGCGTAATCCGTTAGCATACCATGAAAACTAACTTCTGGTTTAGGCGAAGCTTTACTAGCAATGTCCTCAACGTCTTCAGGACAATTAACGTATACTGAACTGGTGTCACAAGGCTCAATGACGATGACCAACCACTAGCTATACCTAACATGTTACCACCAGAGATCTTTATTGGGTAGATCAACGTTTTAGGAACTTCAGACAAGAGTTGTGTTGAGCTGAGAACTAAAAAAGAACAAATATGGATAGATTATGAAGTGGAGAACAAGAATAGAGGTTATAGAAGACACACTACTTTTGCTCATTGGTATTTCACAAGAGTATACATTACAGGATAACTATGGATCCAATTAGTCTAAACAACTAGGTACATTTAAGCAATCCATCATTCCCATGGTAAACACACGTGTCAAAAAAACGTGATCAAATTTTAAAATTCGTGCAATCAAATAGTCGGACATGTTATTGTATTTGTAGAAGAGAGCCAATAAAATAAAAAGATTCTCTTGGGGCATTTGTAATTATTAGTTTAGAAATACAGATCGACTAATTATAAAGGCAGAAGATGTAAGAGTGAATAAAAACCATTTCCCGTCAAATCAAAGGAAAGCTTGGATATGACATGCAATATGCAGGTATAAAGTTGTAGAGAAAAATAAAAAACATTTTTAACGTTGTCACGGATATTACGAGTGCCGTAACAAAGTGTTGACGAGTTTCACATGCATTTGTAAAAACAAGCTTAAGTAGTAGACAAAGAGCATGACAAAAATATATGATGGAAAACTTGCTCAGCGCATCTACAAGCACCAATTTCAGAGCTCGCTCTGTCACAAAATAATTGAGAATCTGAGCATGCGTTGTCAACTCCACAAACTCTCCAAGCTCATGGTAACGACCAACTGGATGTACTAGTACCGATTTTGGAGTAATTAGCTCGCTCAGTCACACGTTTTAACACAAATCATCTGCGCATGCGCAGTCTCATTAAGCATGCGCAGTCAACTTGACCAGCTACCCAAGTTCATGGTCATGGCAACGACCAACTGCATCTACTAGCACCAATTTTGAAGTAAATAGCATGCTTAGTAACAATTTAATAAAGAAATCGTCTCCGCATGCGCTCGAGCATGCGCAGTCCACTCGAGTAATTGTTCATAGTCATGACAACGACCAACTATACGTATTTACACTACATTTGTGTCATATAACTCACTTAGTCGCAAATTATCAAAGAATCATCTGGGCATGCGCAGTAACGATAACAATCATCCCACAACTTTCGTACGCCTTTAAATTTTGGTATATATATATAGAGCTAGAACTTCATATAGTAGATGTCAACTAGCAGTGGAAGCTGGGTGCGATATAGTATGCAGTGGCTTAGGAGCCCTCACTCTCCCTGCGTACCCTGAGCAAAGCCTATCGCAGGGTCTTATGGGCGGAAGCTTGCTATTGGCATATCCCAAGTAGGATAGCGTGGAGGGGCCGAAATCTCCTACCGAAACGTTAACATGCGGCGTTCTATTACCTTGCGCTTAAGAAGGTATCGGGAAGCATGGACCGAAAACGGGGTTTTTTGCTTTCGAATTTTATCTTTTTGTTTTCTTCTCATAAAAAAAACCAAGCAATGTTTCAAGTAACTTCTTATGACCCTGTCTTTTTCTGACACTTATAATTAAAGACAACCTTAAACATGTTTTATACCAATTTTATCGGTTTATATCTTTCTGATTTAATTCTCCCATTTACTGTTTCTCATGTATCACGAGCAAACCATCCATATGTTTCATGGAAAACAAACAAGGATTATGTGGTTCCCTTAGTTAACATGCGACGCTCTAGTGATCAACTATCTCGGGTATCGGTAGTCATGGACCGAAAACAGGATTCTTTGGTTTTCAAAATTTGTCTTTTCTTTACAAGAATTCTTCTCATAAAAGAAACTAGAACGTCCAAGAATACTTCAAAAGTTCAAACAACTTCTGCCTTTTTGAATTATAATTGATATAATGATACGTAGATGAACACTCGTATTTACTAATTAGCAGACCTGTATATATTATATATTACAGATAAACTTCAAAAATACTTATCTTCCATCTAGCAATCCAGTATCAGACTCTCTTAAATTATTTGGTAAGAAAGTTTTCTGTATTCCAAGAGTTGTTCCATCCATCACCACCTTCTGGGGAATTCTTCCACATAATTCACAAAAAACCCATTGTCAAAATCAATATCAAGCAACCTTAATAAGAGAAAATTCAATAACTTAATAAAACAAGCGATCACTATCTCAATGGAACATTCATATTTTGCAGCTGAAAATGAAATGATGCTTACCGTATCATGGCAATGATAGCGAGACGAAACTTATGTAAGTTATTTCCTTTGGGAAATTCAAATTACCCGAAGACACTTGCCTTTGTACATATCCAACATAATATTTGTACATAGGTAAACTGAACAAGAAAAAAAAGCCAAGCAATGTTTCAATTAACATTGACAAACCAAGCAATGTTTCAATTAACTTCTTCCGACACTTATAATTTAAGACAACCTTAAGCATGTTTTATACAATTTTTGTTGGTTTATATCTTTCTGATTTAACTCTCTCATTTACTGTTTCTCATATATCACGAGTAAACCATCCATGGGCTTCATGGCATACAAGAATTATCTGATTCCCTTAATTAACATGCGATGCTCTATTGCTCAACTATCTTGGGGTAACGCGAGGGAGGCATGGACCGAAAACGGGATGTTTTGTTTTCAAAATTTGTCTTTTCTCTTTACAAGTATTCTTCTCATAAAAGAAACTAGAACATCCAAGGATACTGTAAAGATTCAAACAACTTCTGCCTTTTTGATTTATAATTTGAAGCACTCTAAGCATGTTTATACGTTTTTTACTTGTTACCTTTTACAATGTAACTTTCTCATATTTCTCTTGTGATGAACGAGAGCCTGCTTATACAGTGACTGTCTCATTATAAACGAAAGCACCCGTGGGCTTCATGAAAAAGGGATTATCTACTTTTTATAATAGTTTCTACAAAGATAACATTTAATAAGACAAGCAGTTTGTATCGTCTAAATTGAAACTCGCTTTTAACCATTATGTTATAAAACATTGATTCATTTTGGATAGTAAATTTCGTTTTACCTTACAATATTTTCATGATTCAATCTAGAAAGTAACTTCTTCTCTCTCGAGTAATTTTGCGATTAAACAGCACAATTTCAGGATTCAAAGGATTTCTTTTATCACATAGAAACAGCCGTCCAATTTATTACGTACCTAAGCGTATATAAAGTATATCCAAATCACAAACGAAACTACCTTCACATGACCAAATTACTGTCCATATAAATGATGTATGTAATAAAAAGCTACCTTGAAAACTTAATCAAACCCTTCTTTTCGCAATCATCTGCAACACCTCAAACTCAATCGGAACTCTTGAATTTCTCGCAGCGTAGCGGAAAGGAATAGGCATGAAATCAGGATACTCATCTCCACCATCACAGCTATTTTGATTTCTTCCTTACAGAGAAAATAAAACAACTCTAACATTGTCACGGATATTACGAGTGGCGTAACAAAATGTTGAAGAGTTTGATAAGCATTTGTCAAAACAAACCAACACCAAAATTAATACCAAAATCAATACCAAAGTCAGCACCAACACCAAAATTAATACCAAAATAAACACTAAAACCAGCTCCAATACGAAAATCAATACCAAAATTAACACTAATACCAAAATCAATACCGAAATCAACACCAACACCAAAATCAATACCAAAGTCAACATCAAAGCCAACACTAATACCAAAATAAATACCAAAACCAACACCAACACCAACACCAAATCAATACCAAATTAGTGTTTGTCCAAAGAGTTTCTTAACATATTACACAATTCTAAAATATTACACATTAATGCACAATATTATTTATAAAACATGTTAAATATCTTTCTTGACACTACTATGTCAACAAATTTTGTTCTCATGCAGCATTAAACAAGCATGAAAAGAAGCCAATGTTCCATAATTTCAGTAATAATTTCAATAAAAAATATTGTCCACTTCAGCAGTTGGTTATGGATTGTTCTGAATAGTTTTCAATCCTGTTGAATTATCTTAGTTTAAATTATCTAAAAATTTCCAACCAACAATTTGGATAGCACATATCATAGCATTTTGAATTATGTTCTTTTTGTAGCACACCAAGATATCTCTATCTAATTCAAAATTACGAGTACATCATTCTGTTCTAAGACATCGGCCAACATCATGGCAAAGTTAACTACAAACTTTGTCAAGATGTATCTATCAGTTGACAGACATACCATAGGCGGCCCAATAAATCACTTAGCTGACTAAATTGTATAAACAAACGATAACTCACCCCATTTCATTGTAACAGACCGTGCGCTGCAAAACTTTGTATTAATTGATTATATATATATATATATACAAAGTGTATAACAATGTGCCCTCCCGGATATCATCATAGTAAAATGGTGACTCCTGCACTTGGGACACAGGACGTACGGTTACACATTGTATGGATTGTATTGTAGAGTCACCACAGTGCTCAAACCTATAAATGTGAGCTTTGCATATCGCGAACACGGTGAACGTCTCCATATGAGGCTCTCTACACAATCCGACAGTGCTCAAACTACGCACGCGTAGTGAGCGTAATATACAAAGTGTATATACAATGTGCCCTCCCGGCTATCACCATATTAAAATGGCGACTCCTGCACTTGGGACACAGGACACAGGACACATCGGAGTAGTCTTCATGTCAATTCTGATGTTCCGTTTATATATGGTAATGTCACTATTTTTACTGGTTCGTCTGTATCTTCGTTAGGTTTTTCAGCTTGGGGTTTGTTGTGTATTTTGTTTAATATTTTGTTGATAAAGTTTCATGGGTAATTGTTGTTTATGAATGTGGAGTATAAGTAGTTGCGTTCATTTTTCTTGGCTTCTTCTGTATTGCAGTGGGTTTTAATCCTGTTAGCTAAGAGAGTTCGTATGCAACTAATTTTGTGTTGTGTTGGGTGATTGCTATTAAAGTTGAGTATTTGGTCTGTGTGTGTATTTTTGCGGAATACTTGTGTGTTTAATGTGCCGTCATGTGATCTGGTAAGTAGAGTATCTAGGAAGGTAAGTTGTTTGTTCTGTTCTTTGTCCATGGTGAAGGTTATGTTCTGTGTGGTGTTGTTTATTGTGTGTAGAATGTGTTCTGTTTTGTCTTTCTCGACGATAGCAAAGATGTCGTCAACAAATCTTCTCCATAGTCTGATGTGTGTGTTGTTAGTGACTGACTGCTTTTCAAGGTGTTGCATAACAGCTTCTGCAAGGAAGGTGGATAAAGGAGAACCCATTGGTGTTCCTGAGATTTGTCGGTAATACGAATGTTGGAAGGAGAATTCAGTGGAGAGGCAAAGCTCGAGCAGGTCGATGATATCGTCTTGGTCTAGTTCGGTTGTGATTTTCCACGAGTTGTTGTTAGTAAGTAGTTCGTTTGTGACTTGTTTGGCTATGTTTAGTGGTATGGATGTGAAAGTGACACTACATCATAAGATATCATGATTTCGTTTGGTTTTAGTTTTACATTTTTAATATTGGTGAGGAAAGTGGTGGCATTTTTGATAGTATGATGTAATGATTTGACTAGTGGGTGCAGAATATTAGAAATATATTTTGATAATTCATACGTTGGTGATCCAGGAAGAGATACAATCGGTCATAGCGGGTTGTTTTCTTTGTGAATTTTTGGTAGTCCATAGAATTTGGCGGTGGAGGAGTCGTTGGGTCGGATTCTTTTGTAGACGGTTTCATTAAAGTGCACATACAGTTATTTTTAGTTTTTTATTCTCAAATAGATTTTGGATAAATAATACAAATGCCTTTTACAGAATTTGAATAACTTTTTTCGTTTTTGAGTTATCTTTCGGCAAAGATGCGAATAAAACCTAAATTTCAACGTTTTGTAAAAAATGTCGAGAGCTCTAATCCGTGGCATGGGACTTACTTGTGACGTCATTTAAGGAACACAAGACTGACTTCCAATACAACTTACACTGTTTATGCACGTGAACAAACACAAAAATGCCAGATCGATGTGTAGTTTTTGGTTGTTCTAACGTAGCCAGTTTGGAGAAAGGCATTTCACTTCATCGCATACCATTTTTTAACGACGAAAGAAGCGAAGCTAAGCGTAGGAGAAAGCGATGGGTCAACTTTGTGAAAGCTACTCGCGATAAGTGGGTCCCCACAAAGAATTCCGCAGTTTGCTCGGAACACTTCACAAAAGATTCGTTTTCTCGGAAATTCGGCTCGCTTTCTGAATCAGAAAGTAATTTTTCACCTCGACTCATTCGAGATGAATTCGGAATCGTTGCTTACCCGAGCATTTATCCTCGAAAAGATGACAATGAACTTACAAGAGATCGCAGAATGGTGAGTACGTTAAAATTATACATATGCATATCTACATTTTACCTGGAATCTGTGTGAGAGTATATTTCATAAATACATGCCATTTTAGATGAAAAGAAAGTGGATGTCTGTATAAAATGGTGAAGCTGTTGTAAGAAATGTAAAAGTTGCTCAGGATTTTGGTATTATTTAATACATTTCTCCTACTGCCAGATATCATGTGTTTAATGCCATAATAATGAAAGCCTTAATAAGAAATGATTACCATAAAATAAAATTTTGAATAATTTGCACATTGCTCCTCCAGGGTATGTTGAAGATATTTATCAAGTGTTGTGCTCCGCACTCATTGATGAGGAAACATTGAGAAAAGCCAAAGGTGATCTTTTACAAATGACTCCATTGCCAATGAATTCCATGTTGGACAAGCAATCAAAAAGTGAAGCTATCTCAAAAAAAGCAAGAAGAAAAGCATGCCAGCTGTACATTTCCCCCCAACTAAGCCAGGTTTTACAAAAGGCATTACTTGCTTTGAGTTAATTTGAATCTTATTTTTGGAACTGACTCACTTTATTGTTTGATATAGCTGAAGTATCACCTGTCCAAGAAATAATCACTAATCAGAGAAATGAGAGAGCAGCACCTCGATGCACTGTGTGCAAGAATTGGATGAAAGGCCATAAAATATAATGAACTGTCCAAAAAACCAAAAGTAACCAGTTTTTTAGGACCTGGTGGTATGAGCCCAGTTAGTTGGGATTCAGTGAAGTGTGAATTGACTGCATGGACAGAATAAAGAGAAAGGAATTGTAATTTTGTATGTTTTGTATAACAAGTATAATTGTGAATCGAAGATGCAATAAATCAAGAGTGGCTTAAATCATTCCACACTTCACTGAATCCCTACTAGCTGGGCTCATGCAAACAACACCTAAAATAATATATAATGTTATGTTATTTTACAAATTGTCCTCTTCATACTCTGCAAAGTGTTCATTTCTTTTTAAATTAAAAGTTTTTCGAATAACATGGTAAGCACAAGCTGGAAGTGGAATTCTTTTGTCTCGAAGAATGCCATGTACCATTCTTGTAAATTGTCTATATGCAACAACTCGAAAAAACCTGAAAAGGCATAATACACAAGGTCCATTAAAACAGGTAGGAGTCCAAAAATACAAATTTTGCAAGTGTGCATTCATAGATAACCCAGACAGAAACATTTAACTAATAATTCTAACAAACCTTTGCTCCAAGAATCCTTTATGATATCTAACTCCATCTTGTCTTTGGTAAAGATTGGCAGCTAAATTTAATGCCCATCGATTGAGGCAAATGGCATCAAATCCTGGATGCTCTGTTATGCATTTTGGCTGCCTTCCTAATTCGGATACCACCATATGATCTTGCATTTCAATCATGAAATTGGCAATTTCGTGGCAGCATCTACATTCTTTGGATTAACCAAGAGAGGAACACGGCAGTTACCACAATGGCACCTACGAAAGTTATCTGTCAAAAGCTTCGGCAACAATAAATAAACAAATTTTCCAACTTTTCTTACCAAGAATCAAGAGGAACTTCATTTTGCATTCTGCGTTCGAGCTCTTCTGTTTGGCGTCTTTCTTCTTCTGTTTCTCTAATATACTTTTCTAACCACTCTTCATCTGCAAGTGGTTTATTTGTTTTAATTTCTTGTTGATGCGGTTTGTAGTGGTTTTGTTGGGGTCTGTTTGGAGAGGTTCATACGTGTTGGTGTCTTGTAAGAGGGTCTTCGCTTTGTTGATGTAGTCTTATTTGTCCATGATTACGTTGTAAACGTTCTCTGGTATTGAAGAAATACGTTGTAAACGCGACAGGCCAATTTGAAACACTGTTCTACACTTTATCTTCACAAATATTTAGTTTGCTGTAACGTTTCACACGCTAAGTAGCTCTAATTGAACACAAAATACACTACAGCTACCCTCAATAAGAAAATGCAGTGTTTCCCTGTGCTTACCTTTTATTTAGTGATGAATGTCGTCATAATGAGAATCGTAATGAATCATAATGAGAATAATTCTCTGCTGTCAAGAAGAACATTATTTTAAAACATTAAAGACAACAAGTGGAAACACAAATACAAAATGGACTATGGAGGATAAAGTTTTAGATAACATGGTTAAATAACACTAGCGAAACTTTCAATAAAAGATCACTCCTGACAAATCATAAGACTGGAGCATATAGTGACTCGAGTTTCAACATTCGATCACTCCTGATGAAGACACTACGCTAGAGTATATGTAAACTTATCTTTCAACAACATATCGTTCATGCTCAAGATATTAGACTGACGTACGACAATCTCTAATGTCATATAAATCTCGATAAAAAATCTGGTCCCCGGAGTTGACATGCTATCAGATAGGCAACAAACAAAGATGAGATAGCTGTACAAACCTGTATTATCGCAGCAAAGCTTCAAATCTTTAACAAGATGATTATAGATGTATAACATGAAAATAGCGATCAATATTAGTAAAGTTGGCTTAAGGATGTAATTTAATGTAAACATACGTTGAAATTAAACAGTTACAATTAACTATATCGTATAAATATCCTTCCCTATTTAAAATAATCTACACATCATCCTCAATAACGAACTATACACATTGCTGCATTTGACCTCGGGTGTGTTGGGGAAACGTCATGTAAGGAGTCTCAAAGTACCAATATAAATTAGCAAACTTTGTGATCTATCTTACCAAATGGACTTAAATTGAGCAATAAAAAAATCTTAATCTTCGACAAAGCATATCCAAAAGATTTCTATGAATGTATAAAAAGTATACAATCGTTAAAAAGATCACGCTTGCACGCTTTTTTCTTCACCAACTGAGCAAAGATTCTCTTTCTTTGAACTGCTTGTCAACAATCATTGCAAGATTATTCAAAAACTCTTCTGAGGTTATCGTTTGTGCCTATTACGTAGGTTTGAGGGACAATATAAGTACATGCATGTACAACAAAGAACACGGGTGAAGGCTTTAATTTGTATTACTTACTTTCGAATACAGCGCATGTGCAAGGAATGGTAGTTTACGAAGAGTTCGACCACTTAGTTGATAACTTTTCTAAACAAGAAAATGAGAGAAAGAATAATTCGTATGTTTATCACAGTGAGACGCTTGACTGCTCCTTGCAAGTTCAAAGGAGAAGGGCCTCCCAAAGAAACCTAACCAAAAGTCAACCAATATTCGTGATTATTTGAGAGTGGTCCATTACTTGATAACTACTGACTACGATAACAAAGAAAAAACATCTTTACGCCTTAAATGTAGATGTAATACAAAGTTAAATTTTATTCATGTTGCAAGTATTAAGACGGTATATTTTAAACCTCAGTCCTAAATTATTTGAGAACCCATCTGAACATGCAAAAACAACTCAACAAACTGTTTGAGTTTACAATCATGGCAATGACAAACAGAACAAGCTTGCATCCTTCTGTGGTTCATTTGGTCACATATTGGGAAATCATAAATTTCAATCATAATGAGAAATTTAGTCATTTAACAAATTTTTCATATTCATAGTGATGGCAACAACAAGCTGGACCTATTTTTATCACTTTCTGAGTAATTAATCGCTTGGTCACAAAAATATAAGAAGATCATCTGAGCATGCGCAGTACGCTTGGGCATGCGCAGCACGCTCAAGCAAGCAAAGTCCACTTGACCAATTGTCCGAGTTGATAGACATGGAAACGACCAACTGCATTTACTAGCATCAATTAGGGAGTATATAACTTGCTTATTAACAAATTATTAAAGATATCAACTGAGCATGCGCAGTTAAATTGATTGGCTGCCAATGTTCATGGTCATGGCAACGACCAATTGCATCTACTAGCCCGATTTTGAAGTAAATAGCATGTTTAGTAACAATTTAATGGAGAAATCATCTGCGCATGCGCTCGAGCATGCGCAGCCCACTTGACTAATTGTTTATAGTCATGGCAACGACTAACTAGATGTACTTGCACTACATCTGGGGCAATTATCCCACTTAGTCGCAAATTATCAAAGAAATTATCTGGTCTGACTTCATCTGTGTTTTCAAGTGTTTAATTTCAGAGTTATATTTAATATGGAAAATAGTGATTGTCTCAAAAGAGTTTTTTGCGCATACCATCACGTCACTAACATTTAAGTCATTTTTGAGAGTTTTGTGGAAAAAAGAAAGGAATTGATATAATTTTTAAAACAGCCAAACTTTCTTTAATATCATATGTCAAACATTTATTGAGTCGTTTTTCATTGGTCAATTTACTTCGCCAATGAATGCAATAAACACGTCAATAATACATTCAGACGAAAATCCCCAAAGTGAGAAAGTTTATTTGGTAACGGGGCGATATTAAACCTTGACGGGTTCGGTTTCCTTTACCCCCCTACTTCCCTCTTTACCCACACCCCTTAATATAATTGAGTACTTTGTTCACCCCCAGTGACTCCTCAGTACAACATTATGTAATTTTTATTTCAGTTTACATATTCGTCGTGTTTTTAAAGGCAACTTTTCAAACGAAGTTTGTGGAGTGGGGTCATCCTCTAGTTGGATGTTGCTCTCTATCTTTACCTCATTTATTTAATCATTCACAGGCACATGTGACTTGTTTACATTAAACAGAGGCCTGGGAACAAGGTCATATTTTGAATCGTTAGGTAATTGAGTTGTTTCCACGCCTATTGATCACTTTATTTAAAGATTTAAATGTTTTCTTTTTTTGAACCTGAGAAGATGTGTTATATTCTGACGTGTTAAAAATTAACTGTGAGATTGAAAAGTTATTAAAACTACGAATAGCTTTATCTAAGTTCCCACAAAATGCTTTACTCTCAATCCCTACCCCCCCCGCCTCAAAGAAAGTGTATCGTGAAACATAATTGTTGTTTTTATAAAAGAACCGAGATGCTTTAAAAAAAATTCATTTTGTCTTACGGTGAATTTCCTTTAAATCGGGTAATGTCTGTTATTCTATGCAACACGAAACTCGACTGCGACATGGCAAAGGAAACGCGGAATTATTGCAGAACTTTTATCTTTCAAACATTTCGAGAAGGAACTGAATTAACTTTTGGCGAGATTTTCACTAGTTTCTAGACAGGTTTGTCTGTCTATTTTTACGAGGGAGAGGGATTGAGCACTATTAGAAAGCAGAAGGAGAGGGAGGGGGTGGGCGAAGCTTAGCAACTAGAGGGAGAGGGGACACGGGACCTTTGAAAATGCAATAAATTTCTATTGTTATTCATGGACGTTCACGTCGCAGATGATGAAAACATTTACAGTTTTGAACTTTTAAAAAATCCATGTCAGCAAATAGTAAAGCAGCATATTTAATATTGTAGTGCCTTCCAGAAACAGACGTTGATGGTCAACAGTAATATACAAGAACTTGAGGATAAAAATCACAAGGAATGCGATTTGTTTCAAAAGTACATCAGCAACGATGATATTTTGGATGACATCGTAAGAAGATGGTGGACGAGCTTACAGGAATGATTTACCATCAAGGTATATTTACGATCAGACTTATGGCGCGTGCAAATATTTATTGTACAAATAGGATATTGTGTCTCAATGATCCGTTCGTAACCTTTACGCAGCGGAATTTGTAGCGTTGTTGGTGTAAATCATTCGTAACTTGAGTTGAATAACAAAACATATTCGTTCATTTAACCACGATTTTTAAAATCTTTAGTTTGGAGGAAAAAAATTACGTTTTGAATCAAGTTCCAAAACATAGCAAAAAAACTTTTGCTGGAAAATTTCGAACACTCGTTCTGTATCGTTCAAGTCATTGAGACTTCAGTGTTTACTGCTGGCGTAACGGACTTCTTAGTCGCAACAACCTTCTTTCGTGCGCAATTGTTGAAAAATGATGCAGTTGTTAAAAAATAAGTGTCATTAATTAACATGTTGTCACGTGACATCAAGTAGATGTTTGCGCAGATGCTTTTGTACGCTTAACACTTTGGTGAAAATGGTTTTTATCAAACTGAATAACATACACGGAAAGAAAATGCATGGAACATTTCATCAACAAAAATCAACTTAATGTTTCAACTACATTTTCGATTTTCGTTGTAAAAAAGTCATCACTGCTTGCGAGCATTCCTCCAGACCCATCTTTGAGCAATCAGTTCGCATTCTATATTACTCTCATCGTGAAGTTTCTCCAGCTCAGCTGAGCGACATAATTTCTTCGACATTGAGAGCAACTGCAATGGAGAGAAGCATTGTATGGTTAAATGAAACGAAGCAATAACTTTAAAGTCCAGATTTGTGCTACCTTCGGCGGCAACGCAGCCATGTATTTCATTCTGTTGTTAATTCTTTTTTAACTCGGCTTGAGGAATAACTTCTGTTACCAAACCGTAGTTACACGCTTCGACCGCAGTCAGTTTTTTTCCAACGAGTAACATCTCATTCGCCTGAGTGCAAATTAATAAGAAATGTGTGAAAACCATACCTTAACTCTTAACTGCATTAAGATAACGATACCTTGTTAATAATTGAGTTAATTAAACAAGAAGAACAGGGCTCAAAATAACGGTCAGGCAACGGACAATGATTTTCAAAAATACCTATGTATCGGTAACATTTTCAGTTTTCCCATAATAATTTATTATTCGTTTTTGCTTTCAATATGCTTTTTCAATGTTGAGCGTCAATTTTTTAAATACGTATAAACCATGCTTTCTCTAGTAATTATATGCTGGCTAGAGGCTTGTTGCATGGAAGGTATCGACTCCGTTCTCGTAAAGTGTATCGTGGTCAGATTTTCTTACTGAGGATTTCATATTAGAATGAGACCGTGCGTAGTGATGTCAGAAGCGCTTAGTTAAAAATTTTTTTTCATATTATCACATCAAAAAGAACTTTGACGAAAAAATCGAGTCCACCCCCCTGAAAATTAATTTTGTAATATTTTCATATTTTCGTCAAAAGACTATAATTCATGCATTTGTACACATTTTCCAATTGAAAAAACCAACTTTTACTAAAAAGGGATTCCACCCCCTTGAAAATGAATTTAATCTTATTTCCATTATTTCATCAAAAAATTATAATTCATGCATTTGAACACATTTTCCACATCAAAAAGAACTTTTTACAAAAAATCACGTCCACCCCCCCTGAAAATGAATTTTATAAAATTTCCATATTTTCACCAAAAGACTATAATTCATGCATTTGAACACATTTTCCACTTAAAAAACAACTTTTACAAAAATAGGGATTCCACCTCATCCTGAAAATTAATTTTATCATATTTCCATTATTTCAAAAAAAGACCATAATTCATACATTTGAACAACATTTTTCGCATCAAGAAGAACTTTGACAAAAAAAACGAGTCCTGAAACTGACTTTTATAATATTTCCACATTTTCCACATCCAAAAGAAGTTTGACAAAAATCGAGTTAACCCTTCATGAAATTTAATTTTATCATATTTCAATATTTTCACCAAAGACTATAATTAATGCATTTCAACACATTTTCACAAAGACTATCATTAATGCATTTCAATGAACTTTTACAAAAAATTAAGTCTACCCCCTTTCCTGAATATAAGTTTTATAATATTTTCATATTTTCACTATAAAACTATAATTAAGGCATTTCAACACATTTTCCACTTAAAAAACAACTTTTACAAAAACAGGGATTCCAACCATTCTGAAACTGA